TTTTTATAAAATATGAAAAATGTGAAGTCTCAACATTTGTTGCACTTGCCGACATAATTGTATCTTTAGTGTAAGAAAATTATACCGCACTAAATATTTAATGTACAAGGGTCAAAATAAAAATTGAGGAGACTGTATGTTGTTATACATTAGTATGTACAACTTTACATAAAAATATTTATCCAATTATTGCCAGGTGAAATATTAACACATCATATTACCATGTCTCCAAAAAAAACCTTATTTTAAGATATTCAGTTTCTATTTTAGACCAACAAAATTTAAAGTAACTTTTAACAGTTACATCTGGTGTGAATAAAACCATATTGACAAAAAAGTAAGAGTATAAAGTTCCTGAGAAACAGGTAGTTTTCAGGCAGGAGTAGGAAAAAATGCAAAGGACATTTCATCTCGACTGAAAGTCACTATATTTTATTTAAGAACAATAAAGCAAATCAACCAAATGTATTTAAAATAAACTGGGTTCATATTAGTCATTTAAAGCTTGTTTTGTGTACCGAGAGCAAAAATAGAAAAGCAAGTCATTTATTTCTGAGTGTTATATCTCAAATTGTAGATGCAGCATGAAGTGACAGAAGGCAGAAAACTAATTAACAGTGTCTCTTACATAAATAGCAATAGTTGTATTGCTTCAGTCTCTGCTGGCAGGTGTTTCCGGCTACATGAGTAGAAATCAGAACCCAGCATGAGATTTAGAAGGCCTGCTTGTTCGGAAATATGTCATCATGTCATCTTAGCTTAACGGAGCAGGAAACCACATTCGGAGGTTGCAACAAAATAATGAGATATCTTGAAAATGAAAAATATGTCCATGTCCAGCTGGAGTGTGTTTTTTTTAAGAGGCGGCATTTTTTGAACAAACTAATCAGCAAGTTGAAGGCAGTGGAAGGCAAAAGGCTAGTATGACATTTCTAACATGACTTACATAAAAAATGACAGTGGTGCAGTTGATTTGTTCAAGGTCAGGATTTCCAAGTTCAAGGATGGAGAACAAAATAAAGATTGAAATATTTACTCAGAAAGGTCGAATGTCCTTGAGGAACTCATAAAAACCAAAGTCGAAGTTGCAGAAATGAAAATTATATTTGCATTTCTGACAGTTCTTAGCCTAAATGAGTAGCACAATGTATTATTTCTGAACAGGTTGCTTTAGTGTTAGAATGCAAAAAATAGAAAGAAATATGTTTTACTGGCTTGTATTGATCAGTGACAGTCAACTTGGTCACTGATTGCAGTGACCCAATTGTTATTGCTTTCTGGTTTACAACTAGAACGCAGTCAAAATGACACCAGTGCTGAATGGTGCCAATTTTATTTTATCAAACAAAGTGAAAAAAGGAAAAAAATAAGATTTGCTCTTTGAAACTGTTTCTGTCAGCAAACTACAAAATCACTGTCAACACAACATGTGCTACTTTTTTGTTTGAACATTTTGCTGCTGTTGTCCATCTACCTTAAGGTTTGATGTTTTGTGTGTTGTGTGTAAAAATCCCAGTGGATCTCAGTCTGTCACCAACAACCATCTCAGGTTTAAAGTCACTTCCATCTCTTTTTCTTCCCATACTTGTGAACTTCAACAATTCCATATCTCCTTGTCTAAATATACTGAAGTGCTGCCACATAACTGGCTTATTTACTGCTCGTGTTAACGAGTTATTGAACAGATTTACCAAATAAAGTGGTTGGTGAGTGTAAAATGTGACAATGGGCCTCTGTGTCATGTCAGTATTGGCTTCAGCCACAATGTTATATAATGTTCTTTTACTCTTTTGATTATCAGTATACTGACATGTTTATTGTGGCTCCATTTTTAAACTCTGGGCAGCCAATGGCAGATATTCCAGTCCAATTTATTTTTATATAATCAGTTTTGTCCTTATTCTTTTATATCTTTATCATGTAGAAAGTTTCTTTAGGCACAAGAACATAGATGTTTGAAATCTGTGAACTAAAGCAGCAGTAAGTTCAGTTTGCCAATCCGCTTTTCCTTCCACTAATGCAGAGGAGAAACTATCCAGTGCAGATTGTTTATTAAGAGAGGGCGATGGGCAATATTCAAAAAAAGAAAGGCAATTATTGATCTGATTCAGAACCTGTTTGCATATTGGCCAACCTCTACATTTGAAAAAGATTTTGACTTTTGCAAAAACTGTATGATCAGCAGCATCAATATAGAGCATGTGACTTTAATTTTTAATGTAGAAAAATGTAAGACTTAGACTACATAATGCACATAGAAAGCTGTAACTTTTGTTTTATAAACTAGTGTAGAGATATTTGATTATGCAGTTAGTAAGTAATTATTTCTATCGTGTGAAAAGAGCTTTGAATCTAACTCCGAAATTATTAGAGAGGATTTCTCATTAAAGCACCCCATTAAAGTAACAATGGGAAAATTAAATGACCACTTCAGACTGAGCCAGTCCTTAGTTCTGTCACGATCTGTGTTTGTGTGTTTATTTTTGAGTTTTTCTGTGTAGTGCTGTTCCCTGTGAGTCTCTGTCCTGTCCTCCCCGTTTGTCTCCCAGGTGTGTCTCGTCCCCTTGATTACCCCGTGTGTATTTAAGTCCACCTGTAGTCTCCGTCTTTTGTCAGATCCTCGTCGTTGTTAGCGTCATTCCTCATTCTTCGTGTCCTACGTCAGTTCGCAGTTTCCTCAGTAGAACTGTATAGTCCTGAGGTTTCATGTGTCAGTCTTTGTCAGTCGCTACCGGTATTAGCTGTGTGCTAACGTGCTGCCTGTCCTGGACTGTGAGATCTTCATTAAATTCATCATCTTCTCCACACCTGGGTTCTCTGCGTCTCTCCTCACCACCACCAACCATACCACTTCATGACAAGTTCAGTTTTCCTCTCACAGCTTATCCACTACCTTCAGTGTTGCTATGGCTGCAAATAACATAATACTATTTCTGTAACAGCTTCTGCAGTGTTTTGAAATTCCCACAGAGCTTACCTTGATGGCTCAAACACTCTACAGCCAGCAGTTCTGTAACTGTTATTACCACGTAAATTACTCTGTCCTTCTGCACTTATACCAACTGCAGAAGTTCTCAACCTGGGTTTCACACCCGGGAGACAGTTTCATTTGACAGAGGTCAAATGCTGGAAAAGTGAGTCATTAGTCTTGAGGAGTACAGTTCAAAGGTCTAAGCTAATTTGCTTAAACATTTTGGCTGCTACGTGTAAACAGTAGTGATTGGCTATAATAGTAAACATTTTCTCTGCACTTTAGCCTGGTTGCATGTCTACACAATGGACGGCCTGTGATATACTTATGATTATTTAAGATTTACCAGTCCATGTCTTTTATCTCACAAATTTGAAATGTTGACCTTTTACTCAATTGGTCCTTTTCAAATTTAGGCTTTTGTCCCAAAGATGACCATTTCATTAACCCTGACTACCTTTAGACAGCAGTAGACACCTTTGTGACAATATATTTTCGCCTTTCCGTGTTGCAATGCTGTATTGCAGATTGCAATGCTGTATTGCTGGAAGGCATTGTTGATGCAACAAAATGCAGAAAAAAACTTTATCTGCTTGAGCTTCATGTATTTGTGATATTCTTGGAACTGGAACATGGTCAGAGTTGTCGGCTAAAGAAAAATTAATCTCTGTGTGTGTGTTGAAGCATTAGGACGCTGCTGTGAAGAAAGTAAAGTCTAAGCAAGAAAACTTAAATTCCCAAATGGTTATATTACACACATGATTAAAATGCGCTCTATTAACCGTCTTTTTATGTAACAATCATGTTAATTATACTGGAAGGTATTTTGTACAAATTTAATGTTTCTTCCAAACTTTTGCTCTACAGTACACTTCACGTACAAATGATACAGAATTTATGTAAGCTCTGTTTTGTACAAAAATATGGTAAATGGCATGTGCTTGATTTGCACTTTATTCAGTCCAAAGGACTCCAAAGCTCTTAAGACTATTACTCCCCCACACATACATTCACACACACATTCACATGCTGATAGTGGAAAGCTACACTGTAGCCACAGCTGCTCAGGGGCTTTCTGACCACGACTACCAGGAGAGGTGAGTGAAGTGTCTTACCTAAGGACACAAAGACAGACGGAGCAGAAGGGTTTGAATCGGCAGCTCACTGGTTACAGGATGAACTCCTTTCTACTGAGCCACTGTTGCCTGTAGCTTAATCTCATGTTATGCTATGCAGATGCTTTGTCACACCTGATGAACTTTGGTATGGTAAATGTAGCAGATGCACATGAGGAACTTTGAGGGAAATGACAAAGAGCTTCTTAACCTCCAAATCATTAAAAGGAAATGGATTTCTTTAACATAAATCTATGTAAAGGCAATGCAGCAAATCAGATCTGTTTCCACCTCCAGGTACAGCTGAGCCTGAACATAACACTTCATCCTAAATACTGGAGCTGTGAAGTGCATGCAAATTCTTTTTAAAACGCTGGTTGTGCCGGGCATCTGCCAGGTGTGAATGTGAGCAAGTCAGTGTGAAGCTGGATGTCGCTGAGCGCACATACTCAGCAAATATTTTGAAAAGTATGCAACTATGGTGAGAAAATGACTGCCATTTTGTCAGAAGGTGATGCTGGTGTGGACTACTTTAAGGCCTGCAGGGGTTTAAACATATTTAACAGCTGTTGGAAGCAGTTTATTTCCCACTGGTGCATATGCAGATGTGCCAGACCTCCAGAGTGCCGCAGGGGAAACTGTCAAATGAGCTGATGTCGTTTGATGTGGCACATGTGAAGGCATGTCAGTCTGTCTGCTTCTTTTGATACGTTTCGACATCATAACGATGGTTATGCATTTGTAATGCTGCTACAAAGCAACTCAAGCCCTAAAGGTAAACATAAAAAAAGTTTTTAACAACTCCAAACTTAATCTTTTTTTTCTCCTTGAAAATGCAAGAAGGGAAGAAACACAAGATGTTCCTCAACTTTGAACAGTTTGTTCCCAACTATTTTAAGGTTAAAACAACAAACTTCTTAAGTACACACATTACTGAAGAAATGTAGGCACTGTTGAAACATCAACATTTAATTAGCTGCTAGCTTCATTTTGAAAGGCCAACAACAAACAATTTTTTATGCCAGGCCAGTTTAGGTCACTGGTTTAAACTTCTTTCACTTCACAGTTCTGCAATAAAAACCATAAACCTCCTATTATAGATAATAATAACTAATCTGTAAACTTTATTTTAACATTCCTTTTTTGTCACTATTTTGGTACCATGATCAACCTGGAATCTAATGTTGCAGTAAATTGTTGCATAAAATATCTAGACTTTTATTTTGAAGAGTATTTGTAGGTTTTAGTTTAAAAGGCCAGCATAACTTTTTCACTACAGGTTTCATTTCATTAGTCATGTGGAAACTACAATACAGTAGATTTGTTGGTTTTACAATGTACCACTGTCTAGTCTGTAACAAAAGTAAAGAAGAGAAACATTTAAAAACTTACATCTCACAAAATATCAAACACCAGAAAATAGGTCAGGAATTATTTGCTACGAAGTGCCAATTGTAGAAAAAAAACTTTTGTAAACGTTTTTATTTTTTTCTCAGAAACAGTTTGCAGTTCATTAATGCCATTTAAATGACAGCTTTTATTGTTTTTAAGTAAGCACAGGACCTACAACTCAAGCAACTCAGAAAACAGGGATGAACCGAGAGGGTTGTATCAAGAAAGTCATCCAACATAAAACCAAATCAAATGTGAATAACAAATAAATATGTTTCACTGTGACTCGTGATCAGAAATAAGTGAGGATGTTCTGCTACTTGCATCACTCTTTCTGCAATTATAGTTGTTTCATGGACCACCTAAAATATGGAGACTGTAATTAAAACAGAGGGAAGTTCACATCATATGCACATGACTTACTTCTCTGCTATTTATAACCATGATTTCCTAGCTAATTTTCATGCATTCACTCCGTTTCTGCAGACAGTAGAGGCAGAAAGCTGGTGTGGCTCCGGGGTGTGAATGAACACGTAATAAATACAGGCACAGATTACACTACAAACAAGGAAGTGTTCTCCATCACAGAGTGAAATTGCATGCCTGAGGGATAGAAAGTCTTTAATAGAGGAAGTAGGTAAGTAGAGATGCAGAAAATTGTTTTGTTTGTTCAGTCTGAAAGATGGAAGCCATGCTGTGAGTAGATTTGTTTAGTAAGAGACGATTTTTACATAATTAACCCTCAGAGCAGAGAGGTTGTCTTTAACAGACCACATCAACATGAATAAACCCAAGACCCAAGCATTGAATTAAAATTAAAATTAAAATAATCTTACAGACAAACCTAGTCATACAAAGTACTTTCTTGTCATATTAAAGATATTATTTGTAGTCTGTTTAAATGTTTATGTCTTAACTTATTACTGAATATGCGAAAATTACAGTATCTATTTTTAATCTTTTACACTTCGCTTCTTTTAGTCGTGCACCAGCTGAGTTGATGTGACCGACAGGAGCTGGATTCTGTCTGAAAATCACATTTCTGTTAGCAAAACCGCTGACCTTCATAACCTGCCACTGCAATCTCAAGGGTAAAATACTCCTGATTTATCCATACAGGAATAATCGTCATCACCTTTTCTTTTAACATCTATTACTTTATAATGCATAAGTATGTAATTTCTGCTGATATTCCAGTGAAGACTGCAGTATCTGCAGAGGCCAGTATTTTGGCTTCTTGAGGGTACTTCATTCAATGATCAGTAACCTTTATATAATGCATTTTCTCTGGATCTTTGGATTACACTGTGTTTCTACTTCAATATGCAAGTGACTAAACTTAAAAGAGACAAGATATTGATACTCCAAGTCTCTTTTTATGGCCCTTAAACCTACACACTGCAAAAACACAAAATCTTACCAATTATGTTTGTCTATGTTCTAGGGCAAATATCTTAATACACTTAAAACAAGACAGAGATAATATAAAACTTTTCAGCAAGAAATAGCAGTCTGCTATAAGCCAATAATTCTTCAATATTAATGAAAATAACTTGTTTTTCACTTATATCAAGACAGTTTTCCCAAGTTATGAGTGAACTGACACTGCAGAATCTAGACTTATTGTTTCTTTCACCAAAACGATGTCGTCAGTATACTGTATTAAATCTGCTTTTTTACTATTTCTTCCCAAAAAAACCTAAGTGCAGCTGGAAGACGTGATTTTCTGGGGACTGTGTCAAGTAAGTGGGTGGTTTATTAGCTGTAATGACAATGGATGCCTTCTAACCCGGGTCTTTGACACTGATTGTGTGTTTGTTTGACTCCTAAACACACTCTGTGTGTCTACGGATGCCTGATGTAGCTCATCAGTAGATGTCTAATATTAATTATATGCCGCGAAGATCAATAACCGACATCTTGTCAGCATCTCAGCTGTGAAGCTACTGAGATGCATTTAATTAGCTTCTAAAGTCGCACAGCAGATATGAGCACGTAAAATGAGCCGCCAGAGCAGAATCCATGAAACCAAATCTATCTTAGGAAGGAAAGGCACTGGGAATCTACATTTGGGTTCACAGACAGTCAGGAAACAGAGTTTCTTTTCTGCACAATCTGAATAAATACTATAAAGTAAAACATTTATGTGATCGCAAAGAAAACTGTTTTATTGTGTATCCAACCTTAGAAAATCAAACAGCTGAAAGATACGCCGACAGGTTTGAAATTGTGCTTTCCACACGTTTCAAACACCTTGAAATCAATTAGATTTTAGTTCTTAACCCTTTCAAAGAGGCTTAAATTCTCTTATCATTGCTTGGCAGATTCAAAAAATAAATAAAATTTCTCATGGACCAGATGTACAATTTGCAGAATGCAGTTTGTGTGAGCAAAACATCGACCACAACTTCTAATGTTGGCCAAGAGCTAAATTGCTGTAAAACTGAAGACGTCTGTGTGTGCAGAGCTGCTGGCTGTCACTTAAATCGAGACAGGACTTGTTTGATTTATCTGCTCTTTGTCCATCTGTGCATGTTGATAAGGCAGGATGATATAGCTGACCGCTACATCACACCAACCCACGGGGTCTAGCGCTCAGAAAGACATTTCAAGTTATGCAATAGCCTCATTTACATATCACTTTGCATAAAAATTGAAATAAATGATGTTGGTATCACTGGACTGTGATATAACCCAGAAATGCCAGCTGCAAGCTAACGCCTTTAGGTAAGAAGAGACAGATAACTGCTCCTCAAGCAGGTGGTGGGAAGAAACTGAAATATAATTTATCTAAAAAATGAGTGAAGGTAACGATGAATCTTTGAAACCAGGTATTCACTAAAGTTCCACAGAGTTCAGTACATTGATGAGTTATAGCTTCCATTTGGGAAGAAATTATATAAAAACCCTCAACTGTCTGAGACATGCATGTCAATTGGAAAATTATAAATTTTCAATTGCATGGTTTTTATTTTAAAGCAGAGAAGAAGTTGTTATTTTGACTCAGAACATCTAGAATGTAAACTGTTCAGTGAATTGCTAAGGTTGGCTTTAGGTTGATGTCCAGCAACATTATAAAGAACCTTGGTGCCATCTTTGACCAGGATGTGGTTTAGATCTAAACAGGTGTCTGAGTCATTCTTGTCTCACCTGTGCAATATTCCTAAAATATCCATTAAAAAAAAAAAAAAAACTAACCCATGCATTTGTTGTTTCAAGACAGGAATACTATGTGTTCATTTTCAGACAGTCTAATAAATTCAGCTAATTGCTGAATCCAGAGTTTTGGAACATATTGCTCCAATTTCAGCTTTCCTTCAGCTATTTATTAGGCTCCTCTCACGTTTAGCCAGCCACCCAAACCTGGTTTGCTATCCAATAATAACAAAAAAAGATTAACACAAAATGTTCATGAATCTTATTGACTAACCTGGGTTATCCTAAGCTATATTTTGAGTTTTGTAGCCAAATACTTTGGCTGGTTTATAACATACTGACCATCATTCCCTACTCCACTGTGCTTACTCTCCTTACCTGCATGCATTGCTGTTGCTACCAAGTTTTCTTTTTGGTTATTTTGTCATTTAAAGTATGTTTGGGCAGAAGATTCCTGGTCATGTTTATTCCTGAATAAATGTTTGCTCAGAGTGAGGTATTGATAAGAGACCGTGATTTAAAGCAACCTGTTGGATTCCATTGAAAGAAAAATAAATAATGAGCAAAGAAAATGGAACAGAAATGAAGTCCACACAGATAATCTGGTTTGCATAATGTATTAACTAATTTAGGACTCAATCAAAAAACCTCCTGGTAGTTTAATATTTGATTCCTGGAAATTAACACATTTGGAAAGTTGAATCTTGCAGAAATTGAAATTCCAGACATAAAACATCTGGTATGAAATTTATTGAAATGTTCTTACATGGAGAGAACTTATGGTAACCAGGAATATGTAGGTTTGTATAGTTTATTTACACTATTTATATAATGTGCAAGTAAGAGAGGTGAAGAAAACAAAAAAGAAAAAAAAGAATGAATGAAGAATTTCTTCATTCCTAAATTTTACATCCACAATACAAATATTTGAGGTTTCAATGCCCCAGTTTTTATTATTATTATTATTATTATAACCACCTTTTAGGAGTGACTTTGCAACCACTGCTTCAATAAACTACAAAATAATTTATGAGCAAAATATTTCCGTAAGAAACTGTTTACCAAAGCGCAGAATTACTCATACAGTGTTCTGACACAGCCCAGTGGACATGCAGCCTTCAGACAAGCACAGCGCTCATTTGCAGCTCTCCTCCAGGAGACCTCCATGTCCATGTCCATCAAACACGGAGCAGAACGGCGGAGGAGAACATTTGTATTCATTCCCCGCTGCAAAACAAAGACAGCTCGACGATTCAGCAAATCTCCCTGAACACAAACCCCCCCGAGCTGCTTGGGGGAAAAACTTCACTTTGCCTGCAACTGGAGCACAAGGTTAATAAACTATCAACCTGCACAGCAGAGTGCTCACAGTGATGCACTCTGCTGCTGCTGTGGCTGCGCTCTAACTATGCAACTTTTCTTCTCCCATTCTAATTAAAAATATATATATATTAAAACATGAAATGATAATTAATTTTACTTCTACTTATTAAAGGTTTTTTACAGGAATTTTCTTTGGAAAGGAGTGAAATGTTTGACCGTGACTGACTTCTTGAAAGGCTGAAAATTCTGATGAAGGAGACTTATTTCATGGTGGCAGGTATTTAAAAGGTTGACTGAGAAAGACAGTAAGCATATAGGTTGCTCTCTGGTGTAATTTAAATTCACATTAAACGTAGATGTAAAGGTCAACTGTAGCAAACTGTCACAAATCAGGGATCAGAAATAAAGCTCAGTCAGGGATGCAGAGATGAATGTAAATTTGCAGCATAAGATTAGCCGCCTTGCGTTAGATGTACCGTCAGCGGAGACGGAGGATCAGTGGCATTTTAATTTCATGCCTTCTCTCATATTTCGCTGGTTTCATTTTAGGTAGCAAGGCTGTCATCTTGATTTAATGGGCCAAGGCGCCACTTCACAGAAAAGCACAATAATTGAAGGCGAGGGACATCATTTCAAGTATTGATCCGTCACACAATGCTAGACTTGATTGTGGATTGGAAATATTGCAACTAAGCAAGTTAAAGTGTAAGAAAACATTCTTATATAGCTGCTTCCTGGAAAGGAAGTGTGCAAGTTATGAATGTTAAGAGTGGTTTACCTCAAACAGTTTTTTAACTTTCAATGAGAGAGTCTTTATTTGTAGGCCCTCTACACGATTAAAGTGGTACTAAAATATAACTAAACAGCCAGTATGTGGATGGTCTTTGCAGGCTCTGGTGGAGCAGCTCCTCTGGACCAGGTGATGCACTCAAACAACTTCCATTGGGCGGCCATGCTGTCTTGTTTTGGTGACAGAATATCAGGTCTGTTCTACTGATCACATTCCTCTCATACTAAGGTTACAACCTCATCACACTCAGAACACTGTCAGTGAGCCAAATACAGTCATTTATGATAACGATGATGGCATTGTGGCTTGAATGTGCATTACTTATAGCCTCTGATCTATCTTCGGTCAGGAGAAGCTCACCAAGCTGCAGCAACAACAGAATCTACTCTGGATGTTCTGTCCTCACTAGATATAACGGCACTATCCAGCTAGACAAACAGATAACAGAAGAGCTGTTTGGATTTGTTTGATTCATTTGTCATTCATTATTTGTCTCTTTAGTCTATGGAGCTGTGAACAGACAGGGAATACTTCATAACACATAACAGAAAGTACATAGGAGTTCCTGTCTAAATGAACAATTTTCACTGACTGACCACACATAAAAGGTGTAAAGGTAAATGTAGGTTATACATTCACACTTAAATAAATGACAGAGCCGAATATGTGTGTCAAAAAGTCCTTAGTGGTCTTGGAGTTCTGATCCAGAAGCTGCTGCTGGTGTTCTCACTAAAACCAGGAAGATAGAGCCCATCACCCCAGTTCTAAAGTCCATACACTGGCTCCCTGTAGCTCAGAGACTTTAAAAATGCTTGGAAGTTTATAAATCACTGAACGGCTCAGCACCACAATACATTAGAGATCCACTGTTGTTGCATCAACCTTCCATACCAAAATGTAATTTATTTAAGAAAGCAAGCATATTTATGGACCATATCAATGATATTCTATATTACAAGTCAGTTTCTTTAGTGTGTTATGAAAACTAAGTGAGCTCCACAAGGACAAAAGGAAAAGATTTCCTGAGCGCTTAAACTACTTTTGTTGAAAATTGTTCAGCCAAAGACCATTCAGCTTTATTTTGCTGTTTTTTTCTTTCCTGCAGCTGATTGAATCACATAATAAGGGTTTTTCTGGAAAACACAACAAGCTGAAGTAAAGTCGATTTACAAGTTAAACACAAAACACTGAGAACCACATTTATTAGTGGGGCCTAACACCTTCATTGTGGAGAGGTTAATGAGAAAGACTGGAGGAAAAAAAGTCAGATTCACCAACATCCTGCAGCCTGACATTAATTACTGGTAACTATTAACAACATGAGGGAATTAGCTTTAACTGACTTGATCTTTTCAGGGAATGTTGGAATATAAATTTGTATATTTTTGGGACTCTAAGACAAATGCCCTTATTTGCTACAAAAACAACATTCGTAGGGATCTGTCTGCTCTAAAAAATGTAAGTACTAAATAGTAGAGACACTATTTTATGTCAATAAGTACATAAGAAGGAGGAATATTTTGTTAAAACAAGAATCCTTTTTCCTTTAAAAGTCATAAGCTACTAAACTAATTTCTTACTTTTGATTATTCAGGAAAAAAATGTGTTTAGTATATGACTGCCTCCATCATTAAAAAAGCTATTATAACTGAATAAAAAGGAAAAACAAAATGTGTTCAGACACAGACAGAAGTAGAACAATCTGTCTGTAATATATCAAACATTTTCATGTCTCAGTTTATCAGTATCCTTAGAAAGTGCTGGTTTTGATGGAAGCTGAATTCTCTGCGGTTTCACAAACGGTTGACAGGCTGCAGCAGATCAAATATCTCCAGCAGCTTTTCTGAATGGCTGTTTCTGATCTACTGATTAGGGCGATATCATGTCCTTCAACTGCGGGAAATACTTAAGCTGCCCATCCTTTCAGAGGAGATGATTGGTCTTAGCCTTTCAGAAATATAGTGAACCGAGTAGAAATACAGCAAGGATATACACAGTAAGTACTACCACCTCTCAATTTGACTACATTTACTTTGAATCTTATATAGAAATGAAAATGATTTGCTGTGTTCAACCTCATTTTTATGTTTCTTATCTATGGAAAAGCCTTAATTATACCTCCAGGGTTCAGTGTGAGAAGCAGGGTAGACTCCTGCCTGGTCGCCTGTCCAGACGCCTAGGATGAAATCTGGAAAGAGCACAGCTGTTTTCAAAGCTTTTACAAGATGCCTCAGCCTCTGACATTTTGGTAACCTGGGAACCAGACAAACCAAGCAGCTAATCATAGGTTTATTTGCCGTCAATGAATGAGTCTGCACAGATCTGAAGAAAAAACACATTTCCACCTGAACATCCATCCTAATCGCAGTAGCTTCTCTGATAATCAGTTTGAGAAGAGTAAGAAAAAGCCATAAATGCTTCCTTAGACAAATGAAAATAAAAAGGAAAATTTGCTCTGTGCCACATTATGATGACAATCTGTGGAATCAAGAAGATCTCCCCAGGAAGACTAGTTTTTATAGGTAAAATATATATCTGATCTCATTTAACTTTTATCCATTTGTTTCAAGTTATCTCAGAGATGAGCTTCAGAAACCCCCCAAAAGCTTTATAATTAGATCATGCATAATAATGTTTTTAAATGAGTAATAAATCACAATATACCCACAAAAACGCTCTGGATTCAAATAGACAGAGAGATCCTGATCAGAAAATACTTTTTACTGCCATTTGTTTTCCTCCAATATTTTGGAATATTACTAAATGAATCAGAATAAATGAGAACTTATTGTGTCGACAACAGACCAACAGTTTCAAACAAACCCAGTTTAAAAGTGACAGCAGTTTATCCCTTTAGAATCAGTTATGTCTTAGTGAGACACAGGTCAGAATAAAGTGTCTTAAAAACAGTTATGTTCTAGATTTTAAAAAAGTTACAAGTTAAAGAGAAATTTTTAAAGACTTTCAAAAAGTTTTTAGATCTAAGAAGATCGCAAGAATGCGTTCCCTTGTCTCCTTAGAGGGAAATTTAGACCAAAGTTAACGGAGAATCGGCTATATGCAGAAAAGACAAGTTTATTTTCAGTTTCATATTCTTGCCATTCTTACCCTTTTGAACAATAGTATTACATTATTGCAATGAATATATTCATATAATAGAAACGCCTTCCTTTTCTTGCAATTTATGCTAATATTATACAATATTTGCATTGCTCTGTGCTTCTGCATGAAGATATTTGCACAAGTTTAAAAATATCTTGAAACAAAATTTCATGTCTCTCATCCAGATGTGCTGTTGGGAAATTAACTGCTTTATTGCCACAATGTTTGTTTTCTTACTCTGACTTTTCATAGTTGGTAATAGCAAAATGCCAAGTAAAATTATGATTAAAACATCACAGCTTCAAATCAGTTTGATTATATATACATATATATCCAATTTACTTTAGAAAGACTCAAATATTTAATAGGGTGTCCTAATTTTCCTACAACTGTGTGTGTTTTCAAAGCAGCTGTGCATGGGGGTAATCAAAACTGGCTTTGCTATGTCAGCGTGTGTCACAATGCAGAGGGACCGTGTCAACAAATGTGTCAGCGTGTGGCTGCTCTGTGGCCAGACAGCCAATCATACAACAACTAAGGGAAATATTTATCCTGTTGAATCAGCACTCCCGGGCCGCAAAGAGGCGGCAGCGCCGGCGGAGCCACAGAAAGAGGACGTCACAGGGGAGAGACACAAAATAGCTGAGAGAGACAAAGAGGTGCTGGGTGAAAGAAGTGGGAGGACCTGAGAAAGACATCTGTGGACAGCAGAGACAGGAACAACAAACAGAGAGGGCTGACGAAGAAGGGTCCGTTTCAAAAGGCTTCAGAAAGTGAAAAACCACAGGGAGAATGATAAAACCTGACCTAAAGGAACTCACATCCACCAACAACAGACGCAGCCATAACACGGTTTGATAACCAGAGACAGAAAAGAAAAAGCTCACCAAAATTTACACAATAAAAAAGTGAGAATCTAAAGAAAAGCAGCGCTTTGAGCTCCAAGCTGAATCCAGCTTTTATCTTTGGTCAGGTTTGGAGTGCTGCTGTGAGTGCTGCTAAATACAGAAAGAGAAAAGGCTCAAAAGATACAAAAAGCACCATTTTGTTGCTATGCAACCAACCTATTATAAGCAGCCAAACCTAACAGAATAGAAGCAATAATGGTTTAAAAATATAAAATTAGCCAAATGACCATCCAAAATATTCCATCAAAAATAATGAGAACATTATATTTAAAAAGAAACCATGTTTTCTGACCCATGTTCTTATTGATCCATCAGTTCTCCCAGCTCTGTGAACAGAATATGTGAGTTGTGTTGTGTTCCTGCCCCGCAGCCGTCAGTTGTTCTTTCCAATAAAGAAAAGTTTTGTAGCTATAGAACTTGTTTCAGAGTCCTGTGGCAAAAACTTTTGCATTTGTGTTTATGGTGAATAAAGATAAATGTCCCCCCTTCACCTTTTTACTTTTATTAATTTCTCCAACTTTTCTTCCGAAGCAGGATCTTTGGGCAAAGTAATATGTCCATTCAATGTTTTGCTGCCAGTATGTTTTTTGTAGCTAAAAAGAAAATCCAGTTTATGTTTACAACAATAAGCAATTGCACTGTTTGAAATGACATTAAAGTTAGCTTTGAAGTATAATTTAAATGTTGTCAATTGTTTGCATTAAAACTCTCAAGGATTGTTAGTTTGTGAAATATTCCCTCTCATGAGCCTCTGAAAAGGATTCCTGAGGCAGGAGTAAGTTTTTGTAAGTTTACTGTACAAGGTCTAAAAAGGTGGTTCAGCTTAAATCAAACACCAAAGGGAGTTTTTTTTCTCAAACAGAAGGATGCTGAGTAACCTCAAGCACTTCATGCATACTTGAGTGTTTTAATCTTTTTTAAAATGTTTCCATGAAGCACCTCTGCGTAATGTTTACCCTGGGGTTAGTGTTGCACCCAACAATGAAAGCCAAATGGTTGCTTTGGATCACATCATTCTGAATTAATCAAATAATTATCTCTAAACTAACAAACTACTCAAAAGAATCAAAATTAGACATTGCAAAAAGAAGAAAAAGATCTAATATGACCCAGTCGGGCTGGTGACTGCTGCGCGATGTGTTTATGTCAGAAACATCAACTTTGTGAAGCATGGACATGGTAAGATCCCTTGGAAATTTCACATCCAGAACACGTTTCCTTGCTCACTGTCTGAGGAGATTTTATCGGAAGCGATGGGAAATAAAACCCTCAGTCCCACTCCCATGAAAAACATGCCATGTGCATTCTGAGGAAGTCAACACAAATGGATACAATGTTAAGTAACTGTTTGTTCCTTCTCTCTGCTGCAAGGGCTAATGCAGACAGAAAAAAAAGAAGACTAAATTTTAGCAAATTTTTTTTAGATTATTCTATGAAATTTTCTAGAAAAAAAGAGAACATTTCTGAGTTTGAAAAGTCAAAATTTGATAGAAAAAATACTGAAATTCTGAGATTAATCTCTAAACCTTTCAAGAAAAATTTTGAAATTTCTGGGCTTCAAACGTTGAAACATTCTGACTTTACAAACTCTGAAATTCCTTTTTTTTTTTTAAGAAATTTTCCACTTTTCAAACTCACAAATTTCCATGTTTTTTTTTTTTAGAAAGTTTCTGACAATCTCATAATTTCTCAGTTATTTTCCCCTTTTTTTATTAATATGTAAAGGTTTTATTGGCCCTAGTGGACTTTATTTGAGAGCGGTCAGACAGGAAGGTGGGTAATGAGAGAGGGGGAGGACACGGGGCAAAGGTCATTAGGTTGGGAGTCAAACCTGCGACAGCCGCATTGAGAAAGAAGGCCTCCATACATGGGTTGTGCTTTACCTCTGAACCATCACAGCACCCACAACTTCTGAGCTATTTCTAACTAATTTTTGACTTTTCAAGCTAAGTAATTTTCTTATTTTTGTGGGAAATTTCTGATATTGTTTGTTGAATATTTACTCTTTTTTCCTATCTATAATGGACCTAACACATCGTTGTCGCTTTCCCTCAAACACAGAAGAATAGGAAATGTTTTAAAGACCTCAACATTTACTTCAAACTGCTAAAACTTCTGGATATGATTTCTTGCTTTACTTCAAGAAATAATGCTGTTTTGTTCGGCTGGAGCATCGTTGGAGGAAAAGATTACTTACCCATCTCGGGGTGATGCCTTCCCTCAACAGGAACGCTGACTGTCCGACGCAGTAGCTTGGTCCTGTGGGACTCTGAGCGCCTCTCTCGCATCAGCAAAGGGTGTACCTGCAGGCCCAAAACACAAAGTCAATATAGAAAAAGTTCTATAAATGCTGCGTCCTCATTTCTGAGCACACTAATAAAGCACAGCTACAAAAGCTTTCCCCTTTCTGCTTTGGAAAACTGCAGCGCTCGCTCTGTCCTTAATTGACTGACATTACGCATTCACGTCAATATTATGATATACTAATGAATGATCGATGCAAACTAAGTGCCTTTGAGGTTGGGAAAACCATAAATGAGACGTTCGACACTGGAGAGTTACAGCAGCATCATTAAATTCGCAGAAAGCAAAGAAAATAAAAATAGATCAAATAAATCACAGAGGCTGCCACATTTGGCCCCACAGTCCCCGAATTCATAAAAGTGAGACTTGTGGGAAAAGAAATGGAAGAATGTGAAGGTCTAATCAGAAACACTGGAACCTTATGAAACTTCTGAGTTACATCCAGAAAATATGGCATGGTCTGGAAAATAAAGATCTATAAATCTTCAGTGAACACCAGCACTTTCCATCAGATATCCCATCGGTATTTCTAATGGGATATTAACAATTTCACACATAACTAGCAAACATCTTTATTTTCTCTCTTATCAAATATAGTTTTTCTGATCTTATTTAATAATCATTTTATTCCTGACATGATCATTGAGTATATTTTTGTAAATAACTGTAGTATGATAAAAATATGTTTACATTATAAATATGGATCCTGAAAACAATTGAATAAACTCTCAGTAGTCTCCATAAATAACTTATGATGATCAAACTATGACTTCTCATTGTAAATATGACAAAACTGTAGCTGAAGAAGAAGTGGCTCACACACAAAATCAAGGATTTTCAAAAACAAGAATTGCAAAAGTTTGAATTTATTGTGGATTTTCTCTTCATTGTGTGGACCAACAAAAAGTCAAACATGGAACTTTTTCCCAATCAACAGCTGGTTTAATGCTACAAATTCTGGCAAGATCGACAAAATCCACATAGATTTCTACATTTGAAAAGTTGTTTTTTTTATTTTTACACAAATCAGCATCTTTCACGTTGCCTTGAAAACACAAGAACAGTCCTGAGGCTTTATTTTCTGTGTTTCACAAATGATTACATTTTCTGATTTATGTTGATCTAATATGGCTTCTTATGAGCAACCACAGATTTTTCAAATCTTATTCTTTATAAAGCATAATTTGTGAACTTTCATATACTTGCAGTTCATATTTTTTAAAAGAAAATAGTTGTTTCAGTGCTTTGCTTTGCATCTGCACCACCTTTGATGATGATCTGTTTAACCCCAGGCCCAGTTTAAAACCCTGAATAATAAATTAAAAGCAAATTCTACTTTCCCAGATATTTCAAGACCCAGATATTGTAAGAACCCTGTTCATAGATACCCAAGCCTTTATGCATAATTTTGAATAAATTCAAGTTTAAGAATTCAGTTTATGCTTTAAAAAAAACATTGCACACCTATGCTGGGCAATTACTCCACCATAAAACAGAAAAGTCAGAATTAAAGTAGTATTCTTGATGAAACCTCCTGACTACAAATAGGAAATCCAGCCTGAGTCCTTATGAATAAAAACCATGTTCAGTCTTCAATTTTTCAAAGTGCAGCCACTGTCCTCTACTTAGTGGCATAAAATCAATCGAGGAAACAGCAGCAGCCTTGTTTGTGTTCTGATGCAGTGTGTGTATGTAACATGAAAGCATTGGTGTCAGAGGGCGGTGCTGGCTGCAGAGTGCAGTGCAGGGTAGTGCAGCTTGGGGGTCTTTGGTGAGAATCCAGCAGCAGTGAAGGACGCTGGCAGGTCACGCTGAGCCATTTGTCCCTCAAGACAGAAGAAGGCCATTTATTTTCAAAGCAGTTCTGTTAAGATAAAAGGAGAACAACCCCTCTGTATGTGTGTCCATGCTTCAAAACATATGAATTTCATGCAGACAAGCCTTGAATGGACCTTACAACCGCAGACAGGGAAGAGCAAATAGTCTGTGCTGTGGCTCCAGAGTTAGAGTAGCTTTATAGGAGATGCTTCTCATCACTGCAAGAGCATTCTGTGACTTTTTTGGTTCAGCTTAATCTGGTACAAGGACCATAAATCAACAGCTTGTGCAAATGTATGCATGCATTCTTGAAAATAACATTATACATGTTACGATGGTATTACAGAACAATATCCTTGATGAAAAATATATGAAGATGCATCCATTGTTTATGAGCCCAAATACACAGAGCTTGAACAGATTTGTGTTGGAGCTTTTTGCAAGATAAGAAGGTTTGTCAAAGTTTTGGCATTGAGAGCTAGTTTGATGTTTATTTCCTCCTTATGAGGCCATGCAGCGAACGATATTTCAGTAAATGATGACAGTAGCATTATAATACTAGCATCCTAATTTTTATAATTTAATTTTTCATAAATTTTAACATGACCAATCACTTTTCACATTTGTCCCCTGAAACTGCAGCTCAGTGATTCATCCATTTTAGAATCCTTTCAGTGTTAAATCTCCTTGCCCTTTTCCTCCGGAAGCTGCTAAGCATTCTGGTAACGTGCAAAAGTTCCTTTTCATCTTCAAGCGAACCTTAAAGAAAATATTTAGCAGAGAAAATTCAATCGAAACTGTACGAAACGGGTCTTTTCAATCTGCAAAAATCCACCACCTTTTTGCACTTCTGATAATCTAACCCAGCTTTTCAGCCCACTACAGGAACAATGTTTTTTCACAGTTCTTTCAATTGCTTGCCAGCAGTGGACCCCACCTCAATGCCCTGCATGTTGGAGATTTTTCTCTGCTTTAGCTCACTAGCTGCATTTCCATTGGACATATAAAACGATTTGGTGCTAAGTTTAAGTGTAAGTTTGGTGCAAATTTAAGTTTTTCTTAAATTTGGTTTATTTCGCAAAACTGCGAAAGAAACACTTTTTCTGCATCACGAGTCACATGATCAACAACCTGGTATTGCCACTGATGTAAATATAACTGAAATACTTTAGTTATATATCAGAATATTAGGGATGTACATGTCACTCAAGATTTTGAAAAAATAAGTTCTTGAATGAAATGAGTAAAAAAAAAAAAACTTTTGTATTGTGAGAATTTGCTACTGCAATAAAAATACATATGGATTTTTATTTTAGGGCATTTTAAACATCTTTCCAGCATGTGCAAAACATTGTGAACCGTGCCATAAATTACTCCGTTTGATGACCATCCAACCCCTGCAGCCTCCAAAACTGGACTTCATTCTGATAAGTCTGTAAATGACTTTCAGAAAAAACATCTGACGAGAAATAGGCCGAGATTAAAAAGATTTTAATAAATTAGAACTAATCGACCAATAATTAAGTTTTGTGTATGTTTTTTTGAATAATTTCCTTTAATTTTCTATCCAACCCCCACTGTCAGTCAACCTTTTTCCTATCTGAAATGCTGTATACTTTTATAGAGCTTAAAATGTTAGAAAATATTTTCTTTTAGGTCTGAATTATTCAGATTAGTTTGCTTCACTGATGTTCTTAGATTTTTCAAGGTGAGGTGGTTTAGTTTGAACCTTTTATAACAAACCTTTTATTTAGTGCATTAAAAGAAATGTGACATGACGATTTAGGCTTACAACAAAAAATAACAGTTTTAATATAGATACATTCACAATCTAATTCAGACATCTCTGTGGGTTTCAAGCTCTTAGTTTGGGGAAACTGGATAGATTTAAGTGAATAACTCAGTATTTCAAGAATTGTTAGAATACCTAGAAATTTCCTGTTGCTTTTCAATTATTTTCATTATTCATTTGAATCTATATTTAAAAAATGTAGGGTTTTTTTTTTTAATTCCAGCTTGTATTTTCTCTTATTGTCCCTTAGTTGCTTAAGATGTGCAACAAGGACATTTAATTTGTATTTCTTTGTGATCAAACGATTGAAAGCATTTGCATCAAAATAAACTGACCTGATCACACTTCAACCCCCCTGAAAAAACAAATCTTCACGGCCATCTGCCTCAGTTGTGATGAAGTTTGCACAGCTTTTATTTAGTGCTCCTCTGCAGCCAAGCGCTGTGCTAACGTGACTGAATCAGCTTTGTGCCAGTGAGCACCAGTAAAGCTGAATTAACCTCACACACTGCCAGCTCCACATTGATCAGAAGTGCAAATAAAGCCACCGCAGCTCGATTACAATCCTGCTTCTTTACAGAGTTTTTATATATGTGGGTATATTATATGAGTGGTTTTGTGATTAAATCACAGAAAGCAGCTGAGTTTGAGGAAACACAAAGGAAGGAAATCAGGAGGACAGAGGTGTAGGGAACTTGAACAGTACGGCAGGAAATCACACTGAATGGTTCTGTGCTTACTGAAGGGATAGCTGTGGTTTTCAGCAAGGTTAAAGTGGCAGTTCTCTCCGTCCAGGTTTTCAGCTGTTGCCATGGAATCCAGGAGACAAATGATCTGCACTCACTTTTATCTACAGGAAGAGTTATGAGATGGTTACAAAATGTGTGTTTGGTGAAACAGGACAAGCTGCAGGATTGCATCTTAGAAATACAAGTCAACACCTTCAGCTGACAGTTACTTAGCAGCAAAAACAAGAGGAAATAAACATACAGAAATGTGCAAAAATCTTCAGTCATTCTCTCAAAGAGCCAGATTATCTTATAGAGTTTCATCTGGTCTTCATCTAAAGCTCTGCTGAAAATTTGTACTCTGTTAAGCCTTTACTGACAGCGTTTTCCTATGGGATACAGCTAAATGGTTTGTTTCTGGCACTTCTGGAGTGCAAAACCACCTTGAAATAAACTAATTTATCATTTTTTTCCTGAATTTTGGATATAATGAGGCAGTTTTTACTTAATGTATTCCAACTTAGTGCAAACTACTCTGGCAGCGTCAAGCAAGGTCATATTAGCAACTGAACAGCTGTTGCAACTTGGTTAAACCTTGGATCAACTTAAGAAATCTTGTGAAATGAAAAATAAATCATGTGAAATGCATTTTAAGCAAAAT